CACCTCCCTGTCCCCACGGGTCCCCCCTGCCTGCGCAAGCCCCAGCTGGTAGCGAGCCCTTTGCACCTGCAGCTCCTGTTCCTTGCACGCGTTGTGCTGTCAGAAAAGCCCTCGGGTTCTCCTTTCCCCCTTAGTTTCTGCAGTTCTCCCTCTTGGATCCGTGCATTTGGTGGGAGCAAGCGTGTGCTGGAGGTCAGAGGGTGAAGGTGGTTCTTTGGGAGGGGTTAGAAAGCCGTCTCCTCTGAACACAAATGCACGAAAGAGCCTTTTAAGGCTGGAGATGGTCGATTTGCACAGGCACGACACACCCTATGCATTTTTTTCTGAGTTTCTGCAAAAAAAAAGGCATTCTGGAAATGCGGCCAGCGCAAACAAGCAGCCCTTCTTGTTGCTAGATTAAAGCCCCCAGAGCTGCGGGTGCCTCGTGGGCGATGGCTGGCGGTTACCGTAGCGGCATTAACTCTGAAACGATGTTCTGTGGCTTCCACGCAGGCAAGTGGCACCTGGGACACCACGGCCACCATCACCCCAGCTTCCGCGGTAAGGGCTGCGCCGGCGGGGACGCGCCGAACGTCCTGCGGCTGCCTCGTCCCCGCTGACACCCCCGGCTTATCCCTCAGGCTTCGACTATTACTTCGGCATCCCCTACAGCCATGACATGGGCTGCACGGACACCCCTGGCTACAACCTGCCGCCCTGTCCGCCCTGCCCACGGCACAGCGCGGCTGCCAGGTACGGGGGCACAGGGGGCGTTCAAGTGCTGGCACTGGGAGGTTGGCATTTGCACCGGCGTCCCCAGCCCTGAGAGCTGCCCTTTGCGGTGGTTGCCTCCCCTTATGCTCCGTGCACCCATTTTTTCCCCTTGTGCACCCCGCAGCAGGGGGTAGGTTGGGGAGGTGGGTTGGTCCCCGAGCACCCCACGCCACGGGGACATTGGCATTGTCCCCTTTCTGCTCCCCTCCTTGGCTGTGCCTTTCTGCTGAGCCAGGAGAGCATCCAGGCTCCATGCCTGCTGCCGCACCGCTCCCCGCTCTGGTGACGAGCGTGGGGTGGCTTCTTCCCAGCAGGGTGGCGAGAAAGGACTGTTACACGGAGGTGGCCCTCCCTCTCTTTGAGAATGTCACCATTGTCCAGCAGCCCGTCAACCTGAGCAGCCTGGCAGCACGCTACGCGGAGGAGGCAGCACGGTTCATCCGGCGGGCGAGGTGAGATGCCACCCGCCGTACCCCGTCCCCTTCTCCGGGAGAGCTCGTGGGTCACCACAAGCATCTTCTGCTCATGCTGTGGGGTGTCCCCAGGGCTGCTTCCCCTGGGCTGCAGAGCCCGAGGGGTTTCGTGGCTGCTCCCCACCATGGTTAGTTTTCCCTTGAGCTCTGCCGTGTGTGGGAACAGGGTCTGGCTGCTGGATCTGGGTGGGCAAGGCTCAGGCCGTGCCCATCCCGCAGCGGGTGCTGCGGGGCGGATAAAGCCGAGCGGCTCCGGCTGGGAGCCCTGCACGTGCCCGGGGAGGTTGGCATTGGTGCGATGCCAGGGGGGACAGGGGTTGCCCTGCACTTCTTGGGGAGCAGATTTGGGGTCTGCGGAGCTCTGCTTCCCACCCTGTCAGAGGAGGGAGAAGCCACCGAGGCTGTCACCGGTGTCCTGCAGGGCTTGCACTGGAAACCTTGTGGCGCGTCTCCTCTAAAGGGATCGCTTGTGTTCAAAGCCACCATTTACGAGGAGGCTCAAAGCCTCTGAGCGGGGCTGCGCCTCCTTCCTGGGGGTAACCTGCAGCCAGATCCCGGCTAGCGGGGATGGGAGAGCGGGAGGGAGGGGATGCTGGCATCCCCGTCTTCACGGTGGCACGGGGCGTGGTGGCAGCGGGGCGGCTCTGTGGGTGGGGGGTGCTGGCAGGGGGGACGCA